CTACCGCCAAAAAAAAAAGGGGGTAACAAAAAACACGGTACCCGGTTGCCGAGTTCACGAAGTGAATTGGCTTGTTTTACAACGCCTTTGCCAAGCGACGAAACCCGAATCCCGATGGCAAACACCGAGGGGGGGGAGGGGGGGGGACGGCGGCCTATGGGTGCACTGAAAGTCGTGCATGCCGTAGTCGTTAGACCATTGACCTCGCATCCCTACAAAGCCGGGACGGAGCACGCCGGGTTCTCACCGGACCAGGCTCTCACATCACCAAGCGCGAAGCGCCGTGAGATATTCGGCGAGTCGCATGAAGGGTGCGCTGCATCCTGCTAAGGGTGTTCGGCATCTTGTGCTTACTTCCTTGCGTACGGATGACAGCTGCGTATGACTTAATTTATTTTCTGGTGCTTTCGCATCCAGAGGCAGTTTGTAACTGCCTCGAGGGTGCTTGACCACGTTAACGCAACATGGTGCGATCATTCCCCTTGCGCGGAGTGGGGGTTCTCGACCCCGCACAACATGATCTACTCGACCACCATTATGGTTACCGCCGAAAAAATAGCAGAGGTACAAACAAAAACGGTAACCTGGTTGCCGAGTTCACGAAGTGAATTGGCTTGTCTAACAACGTCGTGGCCAAGCGACGAAAGCACAATCCCGATGGCAAACAACGAGGGGGGCGGGGGCGTACTCATAATGTTTTGCGTGCCTTAGCGGTTACGCCATTGACCACGCGTCCTCGAGAGGACGGAGCAATGTTCCCACAGGACCGNTAGCAGAGGTACAAACAAAAACGGTAACCTGGTTGCCGAGTTCACGAAGTGAATTGGCTTGTTTTACAACGTCGTTGCCAAGCGACGAAAGCACAATCCCGATGGCAAACAACGAGGGGGGCGGGGGCGTACTCATAATGTTTTGCGTGCCTTAGCGGTTACGCCATTGACCACGCGTCCTCGAGAGGACGGAGCATTGTTCCCACAGGACCGATCACCGATGGCCAATCGTTCCTTTCTACTTTGCCAAAGGTGGCTCAAAAATGTCTTCCCTAGTCTGTCTATCCTAACGATATCCCTTCCCGCCTTTTCAACCCACCTCCTATGCCCCAGTACAGCTACCGTCCTTTCCTCTCTATTCCATGCCTCAAACATCTCCCTGTACGTTCCTGGTATTTTCCCCAGCTCAGTCACGTACACTTCCCTCTCCTTCCTGTACAACGGACATTCCGAAACCACATGAACACGGTCTTCGCATTCGAAGCCGCAATCACATTTGAGCTCGTCGTCTTC